TATGTGTTCTATTTGGAGGTGACGAGACTTGGTCAAAAAAAGGTACAGACGATCTTATACATATATGGGATAAAATGAAGACCCACGAAAAATCTAAAGTCCATATGAATAATGTTTTTAGCTTTTCTATTCTTGGTAAATTAAATATAAGGACTCAACTCAATTCGGCTTATCGCAATGATCTAATTAAACATAATAATCAAGTGGATAAGAATCGATATGTATTGAATAAAATTATTAATTGTATAAGGTTTTGTGGAGCATTTGAGTTAGCCTTAAGGGGTCACGATGAAAAGGAAAATTCGGAAAACAGAGGCATATTTAAGGAGCTGGTGAATTTTAGCGCCGAATTAGACAACGAATTGAAAGTCCATATTAAAAGTGCCAAACTTTTCAAGGGTACCTCAAAAACAACTCAAAACGAGCTTCTTGAGTGCATGCTAGATGTTTATCATGAAGAAGTTAAGAAGGAGATTGCAAATTCTCCTTTTGTTGCAGTAATTGCCGATGAAACGACTGACGTAGCCTGTGAATTTCAGTTAGTTATTATTTTCAGATATTTGTGTAAAGGACAACCAGTTGAGAGATTTTGGAGATTTTACGTCCCCGACGCTGCATGCGTTTTAAATGTTGTAAATCCATTACTAGATCAAAATCCAAACAAATTAATAGCTCAAAGCTATGATGGTGCGTCTGTTATGAGTGGTGAATTGAATGGCGTTCAAAAAATTATTAAGGAAACTTATCCACTTGCAAATTATGTTCATTGCTATGCACACCAGTTAAATCTAATTATGACAAGCGCATGCTCTGTCAATAAGCAGGCTAGAATATTTTTCCATAATTTATCTGGATTGTGCTCTTTTTTCGACGTCTCCTCAAAGAACAAAAATTTTGGATGAAATAGTTAATTGCAGATTGCCAAGATCTTCCCAAACACGTTGGAATTTTCAGTCACGAGGTGTTCATACAGTTTATGAAAATAGGAAAGACCTGATTGAAGTTATGGACAATATAGAAAGTACTTCACGCGATTCTTCGTCGATTAATCAAGCCAGTGGGTACAAATTAAAGCTGCAAGATACAAATTTTGTATTTTGGCTAAGTATATTCCATAAAATAATGCCACATGTTGAAATTGTCTTTAACCAATTACAAAAAGTATGCACCGATTCTGTTAAGGTCAAAAATGATTTAGAGAATTTTGAAGCAGCAATTCAAACTATACGAGAACAAATGGATAGCATTATTGACGAGATTGAACGAGTGCAGAGAGAAACTGATGAACCGGCAAGAAAAAAAAGGCAAGTTGAAGAAGGCAGCAAAAAACGGGATGCGTTAGAAATATGCGATGCAGTATTATCGCAAATAAGAACAAGATTTAACTTTTCTGGACATTTAGTTGCTTCTAATTTATTTGTGTCTGAAAAGTTTTCTGTTTATAAACATCAGTTTCCTGAAGCACATTTAAATGACACATGCACACAATTTTCATTTTTAGACAAAAACAGGCTTAAAACTGAGTTACAAGTATTATATCAGAGAGAAGAATTGAGTACTACTTCTGGAGCTGTTCCACTATCCATTTTATTGAACGAGGAAGGATTAAATTGTACGTTTCAAGAAACTCTTAAGCTCTTAAGTATTTTAATCACTATACCGATGTCAACATCTGAAGCAGAACGCTCTTTTTCAATGCTGAAACGGATTAAAACTTTCCTCAGAAACACAATGAAGGAAGAAAGGCTTAGTGCTTTAGGAATGCTGTCTGCAGAAAAACATTTTGTTAGTGGCATTGAAAATTTTAATAATAAGGTAATCGAAAACTTTGCTACCAAAAAAGAAAGAAGAATGGACTTCATGTATAGAAAACTTTGAAGTTATAGGTACTTCTCCACACTTGTTTTATAATTTGGTGCGCGTGTGTAAATAGTTTTATTTTTGATTTTTTTTTGGACATATAGATTTATTGAACCTCAAGAACTTTGACCACTAACTATCAGGGGTAAGTTATAAGTTATTCTTTACAATTTTGAATCGATTCAAAATTATGGCTTCCATGCTGGCACTACCTCACTGAATTGGCACGAGCCGCCACTGCTCTTGAATAACTTTAATGCGGTCTTCAATCGAATACGACTCCATAGCGATCAATGGTAAACATTCAACTAACAAAATGACATGTCGGTGACAGATAACAAAGATGGCGTCTATGTCTAATTGACGTTTACTTTCCTGCATCCCTATTGGACAACTAGTATCACAATAGAGAATCTTAGGTTTGCCTTCAAGATTCCAGTAAATAATAGCATCCCAAACTGCCTGAGTCTTTTTACGTGCATTCAAGAGTAACAATTATTTTCCATCCTAGTGGACAGTATCCGGTACCTTGCTTTCTAAATCAAGCTTTATAGCTTCTGCGCGCCCCTTCCGCTTTACGGTACAAATTATTGAATAGAGGACTTGCTTATAGGAAACTCGTCAGTGTTATGTCCAAGTGCCTCAATGGTTGCGTCAATAATAAAAACAGCATTTCTTAACTGACACCTATCTAATGCTACCACTTTTCCTCATTTGAGTTGGATTAGTATCAGGCTGTGTGCTCTGAGTTGGGATAGGCAAAGTTTTTTGTAAATTTCGGAATCTGAAACTGATTTTTTTTTGGGACACCCCAGTGGAAGTAATTGCCAAGATCTTTGTCGCCAACTCCGTCATGGATGTCCCCAAGCCCGAGTACCGTCGATTCAAAGGGTTGCCCACACGAAGCTTCTGGTATAAGACCGTAAGATGGGCGGTCTGATCGCATCGACATCAACAACGGCGACGATTTCGCTCTCTCTATCGCTATGTCAACGGACTTTGCATCTCAGATCTTTCGTCCTTGGTGTCGCTGAGCGATGTGCATGCCCGACAGATCCGCCAACACTTCCCATACTGACCGTGTCGAACAATCTACCCGAGGGGGTTTTTTCCAATTTTATTAACGTTAGGCAGTTTAAAAATTGGATTTGTTGTGTTGTGAAGTTTGTTAAGCTCCTCATAGCAGCTGTGGTGCCCTCATATTTAGGCTTCTGTCTACGCTGCTGCTTCTGTATAAAAAAATACTTTAAGATGTCAGCTCATTCACCATTTAATAAACATATCTGACACGATATATCCACCATACGTGATTAAAAAGTGAAGGTTTACAATGACAATGCTACCTAAAATGATTTGGAATTTCATTAATGGGTGTTTAAAGGATATTTAGGAATGTTGGCAACGGTAGAATTTTTTTTTCATATGATCTCCGAGGTGAAAATGTCATATTTTGCACTTTTTAAATATACTAAGTGACATATAAATCCGAACACCCAGTTTAAATGGTTTTATTTTAATAACATTTTGTATAAGTACTTAATGAAGCATAATAAGTAAATGATAAAAATTTCAAAATGATTGCACTGCTTTAAAGCCCTTTGACCTTTAATAATGTGTGGATGCACCCTGATGTGCTACGCATTCTCCAACGCGCCTAGGCATGCTTCTGATCAGGTGGTCAATGTCCTCCTGTGGTATCTCATTCCAGGCAACCACCAACTCCTCTCGAAGTGCTTCTAGAGTCTGAGGAGAACGTTGCAAATTGAGCAATCTCCTACCCATCATATCCCACACGTGCTCAATTGGGGATAAGTCGGGAGATCTTGGTGGCCATGGTAACAATGTGACATCATTATGTTGAAAGAAGTCTATTGTGACTCTTGCAACATGTGGTCGGGCATTATCTTGTTGGAAAGTTGGATCTGCCAGGGTGTCAAGATAGGGTAAAAGATGGGGTTCTAGAACTTCGTGGATATAACGCTGCGCGTTCATGTTAGCTCTGATGAAGATTAAAGGTGACCTGGAACCATAAGCTATAGCACCCCAAACCATAACTCCAACAGTGTGATGAACATGTCTTTCAACAAAAAACTGTGGATTCCTCCTTTCACCACGTCACCTTCTAACCCTGGCACGACCATCGTGCATGCCTAAACAAAATTGAGACTCGTCACTAAAGACAACACTGTTCCATTCCTGATCCCAGAGTGACCGTTGTCTGCACCACTCAAGGCGATTACGTCGGTGTTCTCGAGTTAAAGGGAGGACCCAGTGTGGCCGGTATGAAAACAAGCCAAAACTTCTCATTCGTCGGTAAGCACTTCGCATCCCAATAGGTCTTCCGTGTTCTGCAAACCATTCATTTGCAATGGACCTAGTAGTGGAGAAACGGTCCCTTAAGGCCAATAATCTTAGGCGGCGATCTTCACGGTCTGTTGTTCTACGACGGCGTTCAGTGCCCCTTGCTCTTTGCGTACGGCACTCTCGAAGCCATGCCTGACAACACCTAACCACAATGTCTACACTTCTTTGCACTCTAACTGCAATTGCCCGAAAAGAAAGTCCAGCTTCCCGAAGTCGCACTATACGGCCCCTATCAAACTCACTAAGTTGACGAAATCGTACAGGTCTCCGTACTCTAGGCATCGTAACCGATCGTAAAGGATGTCAAGAACCAAAATCCGCCAACGTTGATTCTTTACTGCGGCTGAAATATTCATTTTTAGAGCGTTAGTGAATTAAAAAAAAGCAGTATAAAAACCGGAATGTCCAACTGATAAGGCTGAAAATTTTTTCACTTGTTATTTACAGTAAGATAAATACATTCACCAACTTTTATTAAAATAAAACTATTTAAACTGGGTGTTCGGATTTATATGTCACTTAGTATATTATGTCGCTCATACCTCTAAAACTAGACCTGATACGGAAAAATGAAAAACATGCCTGGAATCAGCGCATCAAAGATATGTAAAATTGGTTGTTAAGTTTTCGGCACGAATAATTTGTTTTTCATTTTGTTAGGCTGTGTAATTTTTAATTTGAGTGACTTGCGACTGATTCTCTCCGATCCCTAAACTTATAAAAACTGCATAATATACAAAAAATATACTCCTAGATGTCTATTGTTACATTATTACCTGAAGGACACGAGCACTTCTCAACGCTAGAGTACCCTTCTTCTTCTACTCCAACATCCCATTTAGCTTCTTCTAGCAACGCTTCTATTTGATCCGTGTGAAATGTAGACCGCAGCAAAATATATTTGATATCTGACAGAATACTTAGGAAATCTTGCCGACTAACCGGTTGAATTTGGAAGGAATTTTGCGGAGTGGGTAGCTTTTCTTCATCGAAAAAGTACCTGAAATCGATGGTTTAAGTTTCAAAATATTTGGAGCTTCTTTTAATAACAAATACAAATGCTTAACTGTAAGATTTTCTGGTAATCAGCACTATCACTTACCAGCCTTGTTCACTCATTTTTATGTGGAAAGTCATCTTAGAATTCGAATAAATATTATATCCGTGCGCCACTTTGAGTCCGTTATTGCCAGCAATGACGACATTCGGTCCTATTGTTGGTTCTCCACTAGTATCTCCCCTCATCACCTGTGAAGAAATTTAAATGAACCCCAAAATCAAAAGGTTGTTCTTTGAAATTATGTAGCATTTTGAACATTTTTTTTCAAGAAAGCCATAGGCATTTTCTCGAAGTACGAGCATCTTCCCTTTCAAATGCCGTCGAATTTGCTTAAATTTCCCTTTTTTCCGCTGAGGTATTGCAGTTTGAAATTTCTTTGAATTTCAATATACGAGGGTGAATCAAAGATGAACCGGACTTTTATGTTTATCGCGCCATAGGTGAATGGAGTGGAGCGACGACTTGGTAGACGTTGGGTAAGGATGTGAGGAAGAGGGGAGGCAGTCGGTTTTGTGCTCCGAAGTAAATGTTAGTAGCTTCATGTCTGAGCAAGAGATGCACACGATTGTTGCGCAACACATTATCATACAAATTTTGTCGCGGGAGGACGTGAAACCTTCCGAAATTTTGCGTCGATTAACAGCACAGTTCGGTGATAAGACAGTTTAAAGGATACAAGTATACGACTTGCAAACAAATTTCCATAGAGTGGAGAAGCAGCACCGCGAAAAGCCAAGACCAGTCTTTCTGCAGGAAAAGTTTTTGCAATGGTATTTTGGGATTCAAGTTAATGCTGCTTGCTACTGCCAACTTCTTAAAGAAGTAGAACTAGCCTATCGGCGAAAAGGGCGAGACATACCTATTCAAAGTGACTTTCTTCTCCATGACCACGCTCGGCCACACACAGCTGCATTGATCCAAGAAAAATCACGCGAAATTCATTGGGAAGCACTTGAACACACGCCTTACAGTCCCGATTTGTCGCCATGTGACTATCACATGTTTGGACCACTTAGGCCCGTATCGTCAGTCGTCCCTACAATTGTAGGGCGCCTTTATGGCCTCCTTGATTGTCATAGTTTTCTACTTCTCCGTGTCAGAACTCTTTTTTGAGGTTATGTCATAAACATCTATTTGCATCAAATTGTGCTTGCTTTTGAGTTATATCATGTTTTATCAGCCTGAAATTTAGTACAATTTAAAAAGAAAACATATCTTCACAATAAGAGAGCGCTGACGCTGACACGGGACAAGTGTAATCTAGAAATTTTTGAAGTAGAGAAAGGAGTATGACAATCAAGGAGGCCATAAACGCGCCCTACAATTGTAGGGACGACTGACGATACGGGCCTTAAAGACGACCTGGGAGGTCACCACTTTGATGACGACGAAGGTGTGGAAACGTTCGTTACAATTGGGTACTGACACGACCAGCTTCATTCGTTGATGGGGGAATTAAAAAACTTCCGATCTGCTGGGAAAAAATGCATCAATAAGAGAGGAGAACATGTAGAAAAATAAGATTTAAATCGACATCTTCCTCTGAAACTCACGAGCATTTCATCGACAGTGACAGACTGGCCAACTCCGTACACATCTTGACAGTTCTTTATAAAACTATTAAAAATGAAAGATATTGGTGCTACTGGATCTAGCTTCTTTCTTTCATTCCTGTCATCTGGGTTATCAAACCTTAAGGCTGACAGGAGAATACCAAATCATTTTATGTTCATGACAGCTCTGAATATATCTCTTCCAGAGCCATCGGTGGCAAAAAGTGTTTCAATGTTCTCGTGGTTGCTGTTGAACACCGATGTATACACTAAGAGACCCAATAGTGCCTTTATTTCGACTAAATCAGTGTCGTTTAGGTTGCTGGTTTGATTTTTGTATCTCTTTCGCATTTCTTTGAGCTTGTGATTGGTCCACTTAACGATATGTACCAACATGTCGTCAGTGAACAAAAGCTGCCAAACCGTCAACGGAGCTGCTTCTTCTCCATATTCATGAGCTTTTCCTCTTAGAGTTGGTACTTTAATGACTATATTGTGCTTCCTTGTACGTGATGATGGTACAACTTCCGAAATATTCCACCCATGACGATTTTTTCCATAGAAATAATTCTGAGCTGATAAATCCTCTTCATTTCCTTCGGCTCCGTCTTCTGATAACTCACTATCACTTGTATGATCTGATTCCATGTATTCGTCTTCTGAGGCACTGTCTATATCACTAAAGTCACTTCCTTCATCCTCAAACCATTTTAGAACGGTTTCTTCGAACTCCGGATCATCGTATCGTACACGTTTAGAAGGTCCCGCCATACTCGCAAACGCACCTATGCAACACAAATAGCAAACGGGAACGGAAACGTGCCGTCTGACAGACTGCAACAAACTAAAATTGGTCCATATTTCAAGGCACGTTTTGGCTAGACTCGTGTGAATGGGGGTGGGCGATGGTCACTAATAGCTTATGGATTAGATGGGTTTTTACGTCTGTTAGAGGTGCAATAAAAAAAGATACGCTCAGGTATAGAAACGCCGCAGTCTCACAGACGGCACCTTTCCGGTTAAGGGTTAAATAAACTTGTATTTACTGTATCAATAAAATTACTAAAGCAAAAGTCCGGATTATATTTGATTCACCCTCGTATTTGATGCTCTATACGTTATGATTACGTGAACATCAAAGTTGTGGTTTGGATTATAATACACCAAAAATTTAGTAACAAGGTAATCTATTTTCATGGAATACGACCTGCCAAGTGAAAAACAGACATCCTCAAGATTAAATCCACAAAATATCTAAAACTCACGTAAACCACAAGTCCACAACACATTCTATCGTATCAAGGCCGAGTCTAACGTTTTTACTTTCCTTTGCACACTTTTTTCGTTAAATTACCTCCTTCCAATAAAAGCTGGACTGATCTGGATCAGAAAAATTAGTAGGTATCATATATCAGTGCAAAAAAAGATACTTATTTAAACAAAGCATTTGAAATGGCCAGGCTTGTATCTTGAGATGATGACTATGGTTAAAAAAAATATTTCATCATGCTACATAACTGCAAATCGATTTTGACCACCGACGAATTCACAATAGATGAAAAATTTCAGTCTGAAGCCAGGATCAAAGTAAAAACAAGTGTATCTGACATATGGGGCATTTCACGTTACGCGGACAGCGAAAACAAGTGAGGCTTCAAAATTCACTCATATTGGGCCTGTTTGAACATCTAGTGAAAGGGAAAACACGATTTTTTTCGTGGCATGTTCATTTGTTAAGTTACGGGGCTCCGAATTTGATTTTTCCGAAGAATTTTTTCGAATTGAAAAGTATCCTTCTGCAATACGTTTTATATAGGAAATTTTCTGTACTTTTTGATAAAAAAACAAATTTGAAATTCAACTAAAACTTGAGGTGCTAAGCCGGAAGTTAAAATGTCTAACCAAAATTTGGACAACTTCGCATTTATTTATTCTAGATTTTTCTACTCCAAAGTGTGTTGAAAATACATCAGAAGTTTTGAAATGGTATGCGCATTAATTATATATAGTATTTTTCTGAGCATACATGTTGCTCTGGGTATGACGTTAGATGCTTATATAAATCGTTTGGTTTAATGAGTTTATGAGTTTTTAATCTTTATTCATGATTTTAAATAGACTTTCACTTGGACAGCGATTGTTGTTACAATACTTGGTTTCAAAAATATTTTCCGAGCTTCTATTCTTACCAAAAACTGTTATACGTAAATTATATACAGGGTGTAAACGTTATGGTAGTCATTATTGAAATGGGTAATAGGGGCGGGGGGTCAAAACACGTCAAAAAGTTCATATGACCCATGGTCCAAAAGTCAATAGATTTTTATTTAAACAGCTTTATAGCTTACAACTTTAAGTGCTTTATATCGACCACAATCACCAAAATCTGACTAATTTTTATAATCTAATCTAAAACGTTTTTAAATTGGGTAATTGACAAATAAATGGCATTAAGTTTTTCTAAGTCAAGCCAAAATTTGTAGTCCGTAAGTAAGTAAGTTTCATTAAATTAAATATTTAAAACACACATGACAACAGCGCGTCTGTCTTTCATCACTCTTATCGAACCGGCAATCGATTGCAAACGGTAACAGTGGTTAGCTATCGTTTTGCATCGGGCGTGTTGTTTTGTTTTTGTTCGCGTACGTCGTCGTATTTATTGACAATGTTCTCGAATCAAGAGTTCGCCGACATGTTAGTTTACGGTGAAGCTCGTCAGAATTTAAATCTTGCGGCTCAAATTTATCGCAACAGATTTCGCCAACGGGTACACCCAGACAGAAGGACATTTGTGCAAGTGTACCAAAGACTTCAAGATACAAGAAGTGTTCAGCCCACTAATATTTGCACTCGTGAAAGACAGGTTACTGTAGAGCAGGAGGCAGAAATTTTAAATATGCAGATATCAGCACTCGGGAATTAGGCCGCCGCGTAGGACTATCGCATACCATAGTCTATAGAATCCTACGAGAAAATTTGCTTTATCCCTACCATGTACAACGAGTGCAGGCCTTGTTACCAGAAGACTATCCTCGCAGACTCACATTCTGTCAGTGCTTTTTGCACAAAAACATTGAAAATCCGGATTTTTTTAATGACATTGTAGCGACGGACGAATGCACTTTTACGCGAGACGGGATATTAAATTTTGCATAATACTCACACGTGGGCCCAAGAAAATTCTCATACCATTCGTGAATGTCATTTCCAACAACGTTTTAAAATAAATATCTGGGCGGGTATTCTTGACGATCAGGTAATTGGCCCTTTCGAGTTTCGCCCAAAGTTGTCAGGAGAAGGATACTTTACCTTTCTAGCGAATAACCTACCAGAACTTTTGGAACAGACCTTAGACAACATGTCATTACAACGGAGACAGAGTTTGTGGTTTCTTCATGACGGGGCACCACCACACATTTTTAGAGGCGTCATTCAGTATTTGAATGAACATTATCCAAATCGTTGGATCGGTCGAAATGCTCCGGATCCTCGAAAATGGCCAGCAAGATCTCCTGAGCTCAATCCGATGGATTTCTGGTATTGGGGAGAACTTAAAGAGACGGTTTATGGGGCTGGTCCAATAACAACTGGAGCACAACTTCGCGAAAAAAAATTTAATGCGGCGGAAATAATAA